CCCCAAAACCCCAAAACCCCAAAACCCCAAAACCCCGATTTAATAAAATTTTATTGAAAATACATGAGATCTTCTACATCAAGCGTAAGCTCAGCGTTGGCAATTATTAAATATGAAAAAGAGATTTTACAGAAGGAAGGAGACCTTTACAGTTCACTAGAATCAGCTCCGAAAATATTTCAGACAAAGATAAAGTCTATCTCATCTGAACTACTTCCGATTGTCAGTATTGTAAGCGAAATATCATTTTGTAGAGTACCAATAAGTATTTGCAGAGAAAGTTGAGGAAAACTATCCTTCCGTCCGGAGTCCTCTCTTCATTTGTTGTAGACACCAATTTGGGAAGACTTGGTTCTTCGATACAGTTTGTTAGAAAATTAAAGCCTCAATGAATCAATAATTTTAAGATCTGTGCAAGTGTAAAGAGTTGCCTCAGCCTTAAAAAGAGCATGCTCAACAATTTTTCTAGAGTATTATCTCGGGTAATCATGGAATGCCACTTGTCAGGATTAACACTTTGCTCTAAGAGTTTATTAATGCTTTTCTCTGATCTTAAAAATGCAAGGTTATTAAGTATTGCATTCTGTTGTCTCTCTCCAATAAAGAAAATTCATAAAGGGACAGGAAAATCCACATTGAAATAAATTAGTCCTTAATTCTTGTTTGTCCGTATCTCACTCTGCTTTGGATTATCAAGGAAACGAGTTGATATCTTTATTCTCTCTAATCAGCACATCTAATTTGTGCAATCTCCTCAGCGAAATCTGAATTACGAATATCCTGACAAAAAGTCAAGTGCTCGATCTTAGAAGGAAGTTTCACCTAAACTATGTGAAATTCAGTGGATATTGCCCTGTTGAAAGAGTCAGATTTGATATTGATGTCGGTATTCTTTAGAATACTTGAAGCTATGTGATCTCACCATTCATAATGAATCCTAAAATGCGGGTTTTAGTCTACTTCTTAAGTGATAAAGAATTAGAAATATCTTAATTTCAATAAAGATAATCTAATTAGGGGTTTTGGGGTTTTGGGGTTTTGGGGTTTTGGGGTTTTGGGG